TTACTCTTTTGTTCTTTTCAGGAAGCAGAGGATTAGCTGCTAATTGAACGCACATGGAGGCTGCTAAATACTGACACTCAGTCAGTTACCAGCCTGCTTGATTGGCCTCCGGACCAGACCGGAGCGAGCAGCATCGGTCCACGCTTCTCTCTGACTGGCTGTGTAGTTTTCTGAATCATGTTTGGAACAGATTAAATGATTGTTCTTCATATTCTCGCTCATCTGTCTCCCAATCTTTGTCGTTGCCTACCGGTGGGGCGTGACAACATCTTCCAATAAGAAACACATAACTTATTGAAACATGTTAACATAATGTAATACATATGAAAAGAAAATAACCTGAAATAATTACCATAATAACAGAACCCAAAAGAACTTGGTATCAACTTATGCTCACAATAACAGATATAAACAGAAGTTACAGCAGTTAGAAACATCTCACCTCTCTGATGATGGAGATCCAGGAGATTTAAAGTCAAAGCCTTCATCCTTTGACCAGTCACTCTTAAAGGACACACAGCTGGGTTCTGGTTCTGGTTTGAGTCTCTGATGGATCCTGACAGAAACATGATGATTAAACCTTAATCAGCAAAGAGGAGCAGCAGCAGCTTCATCACCACGTCTGTTCTGGCCTGATATAGTGAACGCTGTGTGAAAAGGGCTGTGGACAGTTAGAGATGGTGACCTCACCTCTGACCTTTGCTCTGGCTCTCATCTTCCCCACACAGAGTGGTTTTAGAGGGAGGGACTCCCTCCTCTCTGTACTCACCCTGATCCATGCTGCTGAATTCACATCAGCTCACACACACTTTCTAGCTTCACCTGCAGAGGAAACACACATCATTCATCTGCACATCAACTCTGATCATCCTTTACATCATTAGTGCTGGAAAAATCAGCTGCTCCTCCTCTGATTGGCTCTTCTTCTCTGCTTCATATCAGTGTCAGGTGAATGCAGTCAGACAGCAGAGAGGCAGAGGAAGCTGCCATCAGCTGCTGCACTTCTACTATCAGTCCACTAGATGGAGACATGGAGCAACATTTACATTCACTGATTCAACCTGAACAACAGGAAGTATTTAGTTAGTTAATTTTTAATTACTACAAATAATTAAAAAATAATTAATCATTGGTACTGATTGGATTATATTCTGCATCAAAGATAATAAAAATTTTTCTTTGAAAAGAAGCAACAAGTTATTGTTGTGTCTGATCTTGATGGGAGTCAGAAACAACTATATAGACCAGAGTTTGATTACAGGAAATAAAAACATTAAGCAGCTTTTTCAGAGAAGAAATCAAAGAAACATCATACTTTCATCATGTTTTTTGATTCCAGATCATCAGTAATATAATACTGACCTTCAAACAGCAGATAGATGAAACTTTGAGCTGAAATAATCAGTGAACCTGTTCTCCAAACATTAGAGAGCAGAAACAAACAGGAAGGTTCCTGAAGACAAAGTTCAAGTAAACAAAGCAAACTTACAATTTGTTCAAGCGATCAAGAGTTGAAGAAGAACATTTGAACAACAAATAAAGATCCAACAACCTGATCAGAGCCACACCTTAACAGTGTAACTCAAACTGACAGTAAATGTGAGCGATTTTGCAGAAATAATAACGTCACAACTCACCTGGTGTGTAAATTCTTCTTTCAGAGCAGCAGAACAAGGAAGAGGAAGCTCTGTAGTCAAATCAGAAGCACGTTGATAAAATCTTCATGAGGAAGGAGAAAAGTTCTGATACAAATGAGAATCTTGGAGAATTATCCATTCTACATGCTACGTTTGTTATATATAAGGTTAAAGAATAGTCAATGAGTTGAATTCATGAATTACATTTATTAACACCAAAATACAGCTGGTCCATTTCATATGCTTCCTTTATGAGCTTGCAAGACAAAATGGCACCCAAAAACAGTTCTACTATTTATTAGCCTCTATCTAAGCTTCCCCCAGTGTGTCATGTCCTTTAACCATAACTTTGAGGGCATTTCCTTTAGCTTTTCAACTAGTTAAAAGAGATAGAAGGAAAACAGAGTTATTTATTCTCAACAGGATGTACTCTTGATTATGACTGTTGTGATGACTGTAAAGAAATGTAAATATTTATCTATATATCTAACTTCAAATATAAATATTTATTTGGCAAACTACAAATGTATCCTCCAAAATAATATTTAATTTTTAAATTTAATATTTTCAAAAATATTACATTTTCATGTCTAGTTGTTCAGTCAGACGCTCCATCATGTTGTCATGTTTCAGTTTTTCTCCATTCAGCAACAGTTGGTGAACTGGGTTTAATCCAGTTTAGTCTAATTGTCTTTCTTGCTACCAGCAGCAGAAGGTGCAACAATATGTAACATTGATGTTTAGTGAGTAAATCCTTGGTGTTTATGTCCAGCAGAAACAGAAGAGGCTCCATGGGGAGATCTGTCCTCAGAATGTCCTCAGTCTCCTGTTTCATTTCCTCCCAGAAAGTCTTTATTTGTGGTCAGAACCAGAAGACGTGTGTGATGACCGACCATTCAACACATTCCTCCAACATCCATCTGTGGTTGGAATCCTGGAAATGAACGTTTTCAAAGGAGTAACACTTTATTTGACACAGTGTGTTCTATTAAATCTGGTTTTTACTTTCCCATCAAACTCTTTGCACGTTTGATTTCCAATTCTTTTATGGCATAAAAATGCAAATTAGAAAACTCCACTCTTTGTGTTATCAATCTCCAGTTCAATCCAGTAAATTGATTAACTCAATTGTCCAAACAACCACAAATGGAGACCCCAAACTGGACCATATTGATAGTTTTGACCTCATTCCTCTTCAGAGATACCACTGCAAACTCGTATCAATGGCTCCTCAGAATGACCAGTGGGACGCTCTGCTGGATGGAGACTGAACTACAACACTAAAAGAAGTTTTAAACTCACTTTTCAGTTAGCTAATTGAAAAAATTTTATTCTGTAAGAAAATAAATTGCATGGTTATGCAAAACCAATAAAAAGGTAATAATTGCCACATTATGGAGTAATCAATCATAGTAAATATCTGCCACAAAAATTCATTCTTGAACAAGATGGCTTTTCCCAGAAGACAGTATTACATTTTAATAAAAGTGGGGTGGAAAGAAAAACTGGTGAAAAAAAGGATGCACATATGAAATTCACCATTTCTGGAACAATGACATTCCAACATATGTGAAGTAGATTTTTCTTTAAAGAGAAAATGTTTTATTTGCATCATACAGTGTTCTTTTATGTTTCACATAAATGTAATTGTATCATAGTCAAGATGTTTTTCGGTGCAGCTGCAGAGGGTGTACAAACTAACTGAACAAGATGCGTCTGCTGAAGTTTCCCAGGCGGGTCGTCTGGGAACTTAATCTCCGCCTCTGTTAGCTGAGAGGTGAATAAGCAACTATGTAACTCTGAGTTTGTTAGAGCAGATTTAGATTTTCGCCTAATGCAGAGAATATTTTTCCCTCTGTCTGCAGATGTATTAAAGATTGTTTTTGCTTCCTGAACTTGGACTAGAATTGTGCACTTCACACATATTCAGATTAACTTTTATGGTTAGTTCACAATGGAAAAATCTGAGTTGATTTCATCTGAACATTAATTCAATCTGGAGAGACTTAGACGGAGAAAATGGAAACCATTAGAAGAGTTTATTGGCATACAAAATTTAAGTCTTTGGCGCTTGGGCCCGGCTGAGGACATCGAATATCACAATCTTTGCGATGAGCTTGGATGAGCATTCCATATGCTGAAAGGAACGTCATCCCCCGAGACGAGACATTGGTGATGGAGGTGAAGAAAGGATGCAGCCGGAGAGCCGAGCGAGTGGAGGTGAAGGGGTGGAGGAGGGTTGAGCTCTGCTGGACAGCAGAAGACGCCATGGACGGTGCTATTTATCAGCTGGGACTTGGACAGTGATTGGACGTGACGCGTCTTGGACCAGCGTTGATTAATCAATGGTGATGAACAGGAAGCAACGGTTGGATGATGCAGGTGGGGTTAGAAGAGTCTTCCAGTTGAATTTGTGCCTTTTTCCTCACAAAGTGCAATAAGATCTATTATAAATTTGCCCAGTATAAATACACTGATTTCACTATGAAAATTACGTTTTTAGTCAGTAGTGTAAGAAATAAAAGACATTTCCATACAAGTCTTAAATACTTTATACAAAAAATTGAGTGGAAATCATACACAGTGAGACAGGTTTAAAGAGACGTGACAGTCCAATGAAAACTCCAGATAAATGCAGTGATTTTATGGTCAAAAGTTACAAAAATGTGCAATAATTAAAAAAACCTAAAGTGAAAACTTAACTTGGCACAAGGAAATATTTGCTCCCATCAACAGAAACATTGAATTACTGAGGGAAGGTAAGAGGCTGGATCTGTAGTTTAATTTCATCCATTAAAAAGCTGCTGAAACAAAAAGAGTTCAAAATAAATCGCTGTCTACAGAAAATACAAAGAAATGGTAAATAAAAAAACATGGGATTGATACTCAGCATGACAGATTACAGCTTACATAAAATCACTAAAATGAAAAATACAAAATGTTAAGGACATCAATCTGGAGAAACAAGATGCAAATTATAACGATTACAAGGTAAAGAGATTAAAAATAAACATCATTTTTATAATTAAGGCCACTCGTATGAAGAGCAGAATAAAAAACAAAAGAGGAGAGAAATGTAAACTTGTAATTATTCCAACTCAAGTCCTGCTGTGCAACTCAGTTTGTAACAAAACCCAAAAATCTCAACAAAAATGTCAAAAATGGAGCAGAAATCAGATCAAATCTTTAAAAGGGAAATAAATATACAAAAATATAAATAAAATGGCCATGGCATGCAGAAAACAGAGAGAAATAAAAATTACTACGAATAGAGGATGAAATGAAGCGATGAGTTAAATTCAAACATTTTTCATGTGAAAACGAGGATTAGCATCGTTTCTGCATGACAAGCATTTTCCTGCTCAAACTGTTAGAAAACAAATTGTGATTTGTAGTTTTTCTTTGCTAAGTGAAGTGAAATATTTGACTTGTGTTCATTAAAAACAGGGATTTCTTTCCTTTTACATGAACACACATTCACAGCTTGCAGAGTGTAAGGCTTGAACCACTTGGCCACACTTTGGGAGGGGTGGGTTGGATTTATTGCACAAGAACACTCGGGGCGGGTGGGTTCTTATTCGGCCCTTTGACAGGTTCTGGATGGGTTCTGTCTCCTCAGTAGAGGCGGACGAGACTTGAAAAAATGTGAAGTTGAAGAACACTGGAAGCTGGTGAGGTTTTACACAGCAGCCAAGACAGGTCAGAGGTCAAAGCAGTGCCACTGCATCAAGCAGAGCCTCATCTTCCCTCCTCTGCTGATCGGGTCTCGGACTTGAGCCGGACAAACTCCTTGGCGACGTCGTCGTTGGAGCGCTGGGAGAGGATCCGCATGGCGGTCAGGCCCGTGTCGTCCATGGAGATGCGCTGCCCCAGGGGGCACCAGCAGGCGCAGTTGCCCCCCTCCATGATGTCCCTCAGCTGCACCACGGCCAGGCCCACCACCCGGTCGGCGCGGCCGAAGCAGTAGTCCTTGACGCAGGCTTGAACCTCGTAGCACTCGAACCCGTCCTGAACACCCAGAACGCTGCAGAGCGAGAGCAGAACACAGGAGTGGGAGCACATGGGCTAGGGCGCTAATTGCAGAGCTAATTCCTGATTTTGTGCTTTTTCTGAAACTTTAAAAACATTCGTGCACCTAGCTTTTGATGATCTAATTTTCCATTTTAAATCAAATCATTTTACTTTGATTTGAGGTCCACATCTGCAGTGGTAGATTACACTATTGCTAATCTGCTAATCTGCTAATAGCAGAACAAATTTGTTGTGCAACACATTTTGATTCCCTAAATCAGTTTTCAAGTTAAATTCTAAAGCACTAATGTACTTTTGCTGTTTTCCAGACTTTCAGTTGAATAAAGTTTGACATCTGCAGCAGAAGGGACACTTCCATTAAGCTGCTAATGTGCTAATAGTAGAGCTAATTTTAGCTTTTTTTTATAACTTTTAAAACTATTGCCACACAATTAATTTCTTAAAATAAATCCAGATTTTATTTGGAAAAGTTAAATTTGAGGAACTTCACTAAATGTTTAGCAGAAACACTAAATGAACAATTAGCTCTGCTGCTAGCGCATTAGCTGACATTGTCCAGTAATTTCACAAGGACTTTGTTTTGTGTAACCAACAGTTTATGAAGTCAGAATTAAAAGAGCTTCAAATCCTAAATGTGTCACGACGTTTGGTTTTGAACTTACAAGTGAAAGGTCTCGTTGTATTTGGGAGACCAGCTGTTGTTCTTGGATTTGGTCTGAAATCGGCGCTTCTTGTCGCTGAGGTGCGGCCCGATCATCGTGACTTCCACGAAGGGTCTGAACATCCCAGACGTCTGCCACTTCAAATCACTGGCTGCAATCACTGCATCAATGACACAAACATTTAAACAGAAATGACACTAAAATGCTCCAGCTTTGATTTCATTGGTTCAAAATGAGCCCAAACGGACCTTTGAGAGTAACTTTCCGCTCTCCGCTCTTGGGATGAGTGTACAGCTCAATCTGCAGGGAAACCTCTCCGATGGGTTTGTCCACACCTGAGCCTGGTTTAACACAAACAACATTTGGTCCAATGCAGGCAAAGAAAACCACGTTTTATAGAGTCATGCGACGGAAACGCAGGTTTCACAAAACAGAAGAGAGAAAACGATGAAGGGAAGTTGGGCTGATGATGATTTCATGGAGACCTACCCCTGCTGGGCTGGATTTTCTCATTAGGGGTTAACCTAATACCCTTCCCATTGTGCACTGGCACAGAGGCAGCAGGAGATAAAAACAAGACAGCAACTTAAACAACCAAATCCAGGAGACAAAAGCAGCGAGGAATCTGAAACTCTCCCGTATTTAATCTCCTTTGAGGCGCTTTGGATCTACCCTGTGAATGCTGCGTGGTCACGAAGGTTTTGATGAGCGTGTCGGTGGTCTGGGTGTAGAGCGACAGAGCGTGGCGGAGCGACGAAAGCTCAGCGCTCTTCTCCAGGAAAGTCTTCTTCAAGCCGTTCCCGCCCGCATGAAAGTATTGCTGCGTAGGAAACAAAACGAGAGGAATCAGCGTTCTACAACCTGAATGATTAAACTTAAAGTGGAGTTATTCAGACTTTTAGTTAATCAACCAAAAGACTCTTAAAATGTGAATGAATTGTACTTTTCTGTTTGACCAGAGGTCAACGTTTCGCTCTCACCTTGATGGTATCCAGAGCCACATCCATGACGGCACACTGCCTGGGCGTCAGGCTTTTAGCGTCTCCTGCCATGTGATCCTAACAACCCAAACCAAGACTTTGACTAGACCAATTCACAGGAGAAAGCAAACTCAAAGGCAACCTGATACCTTCAGTTTGGAAAGGTGTCCCAGTTCTTTAGCAGCAGAAAGGATCTGTGCTCCCTTCAGGAAAAACAGAAAAATGAATGATTCTTTTAGTTTTCAGAAGCCTTGTTTCAATTTTAAGTATCATATTAGTAAAGTTTGATGGAAATGGAAAAAAAAGCATCGATACAACTCATGTTCATACATAAAGTGAGTTATTTATCTACTCTGTATGTGATTGGATGATGTTCAGTTTGTTGACTCATAATTAAGCTGAATATGCCACAGTCATCATTTTAAAACATAATGGATAAAAATATTTTTTGTGTTTGGTCACGTCTGTCAAAATGTTTACATCTCATCATCTGACACAATTACAAGTTGATCCATTTCAAATGGCAGCCATGTTTCCATCCAGCTGTGATTCAAATTTTGAGCAAATTTTTATAATAATGTATAAAAGAAAATGCAAATTACACTGCAAAACCATAAACTCTCACCAAGTATTGTTGGTCTAGTTTCTAGTGCAAATTTGACGAATGTGAATTACATTTAACTTTTCTTTTTGGGATAAATAAAGTATGTTGAATTAGAATTTAAAAATATCTCAGCACATTTTAAATAAGACAAAAGTAACTTAATAGTAACTTATCAGAAGAAGAAGCTTGTTTTAAGTCGATAATTCCTTAATATTTATTTAAAAAAAAGTAGTTGGCAGATTATTTAATTTAAGGGAAAATGATTTGTTATAAGGGAAATAATCTGTCCTACACAAAATAAGTTCATTATATTTATTTTGCCCAAAATTATTGATATAAAATGAGATTTTAGTCTGGTTATTATTTCCCTTATAACATTGCAAAAATATCTTGATTTAGGTGAAATAATCAATGTTGGAGAAACATTATCGTCATTGATAATGTAATAACAGCAATAGTGTTACAACAACACTATTAAATAATAGTGCTGTTGTAATTTCAAGGCTGCTGTTTCTCTGTCAGATTCCCTCAGGTCTCCACAGCAGACAGATGGATCACGGCGCTCTTCCTCCACCTCCTCGCCGCGCCCCATCCTCATCCTCCACCACCTCCACTGAGTTCTGATGGGTCGGTTCAGATCCTCTCTGGAGATCAGACACCAGAACAGAGGCGGATCAGAACCAAAGCCAGCAGCTCTGCTGAAGCTCAGGAGAACTCTGAGTCCAGATGTGGACCCTGGTCTCCTCCAGAACCTCCTCTGTTCTGCTGTGGAGGAACTGTGTGGCTCCAGTTCTGCAGCAGGACCTTCTCAGCTGCAGCAGAAGAAGAAAGGACTTCCTGTGTTCAGGTTGGATAGAAACCTGGATATTTTCTAGCTTGTGGTTCTGCTTCCAGCGTAGATGTTCTCCAGGGTTCTGATCTGGATCTAGTGGACTGTAGAGCTCATCAGGTTTCCTCTCATCCACTTTGAGATCTTCAGCCTCCTTTAGATTCAACCTGAAGCTTCTTCTGACAGATTAGCTGCAGCTGATATTTAGCATGATGTTTATTATTCTAGCCTCAGTTTTCTGTTCTTCATGTGACTCCACTGAATCCAACTCTGATGTCGTTCACTTCACAAGTGATGAAGATCCATTTTTCTTTCACTTCCTGCTGATTTCTTTCCAAAGCTCCATTTGTTCCAGGAGGATCTTCAATGTTCTCTTTAGATGATGAAGGAACTCAGACTGACTCCACCCGGCTGGTGCTCCAGGTGAGCAGAAACAAACAAACCCTGAAGTCATCTCTGCAGACCAGCTTTAGATTTGGACCAACTCAACATCAAGCTTCAGTAACGTCTCAGTTAAAGTTTGTTTCCAGATCTGAGATCAGAAAGTTCTGGAACAAACTGGTTGCTCTCCAGTTTGATGATGTTTCCAACCTGAATGTTCATCCATTTTTCTTTTCTCAGCCTGGAAAGAAAATCCTCTAAATTATCTGGCTTGATAAAAACTGTTTTATTAGTAAAATCTTGGAATCTTGACTCACTCTTTGTGTATCAGGACTTTCACCTTGCAGTTATTCACCTGAAATGAAGAGGAATTGTTTATTTTTGGTCTAAGAATAAAATGTTTTTGTAAGGATCATGTAATCACATCCTGGAAAGTCCTTCAGAGTTTATCTTTGCTCTAAAGTTATGAAAACCCGAAACCTCTCCTTTTTAACAGAGATCAATAACCAAACACTCTGATCTTTGCTTAATCTGCCAGTTTGACAAATATAAATGAACATCGCTTCAAAATGTGTGTATTTTATTACTTCTGAGTGGGAAAGTGTTTCTGAAATGGAGCAGGAAATACATTTCATAACAGCTAATTTGCATGTGATCAAGACAAGAAGGCAGCGGTCAACACACACACACCCAGTGGTGTGTTCACACACACTCTGCAGAACTTTGTGTTCATCAGGAGGTCGATTGTTTCAGGTTTGAGCTAAAACAGAAGCAGCAGCACTTCCTCTACAGGAGAAAACACACGAGGTCATGAGGTCAAGCTTTGTGACAGTAAATAAAAACATGAATAATCTCTTGGTTTGCTAAATTATAATTAATCATGATATTTATGTTGTGAACAATTAAATAATTTTAGCTTGGATTGGCTCTGAACACATCATAAATCACTGATTCATTATGAAAACTTTGACTAGACTCAGAGTAGACTTATGTAAATATACATGATGAAGTATTTAAATTCAGCATTTCACTGAAAAAGTAATTAAAGTGTAGATACAGGGATAAAGATTAGCATGCTAACCCCTCAGGTTTCCCATCAGCCACTTGGGTTTCAGGATGACCAACATTTTTAAACATGGCTGCTAATTTTGAGCCTTTTAAACCAGATATGGACATTAAATGTTCCCTGTTAGAGATTCAGGTTATAACTTATGGATCTTTGTCAGTAAATTTGATTTAATTATTGGGGAATAATAAAAAAAATAGTCAGGGAATAAACTAAAAATTAGGTTTTTGGAGGTGAAATTATTAATTGTTTAATAAAAATGGAAAATTAATCATGTAGGATTAATTAGATTATTTTATTGTGACATTTGAAAATGTTACAATTTTACAGAATATCCTCATAAAATCAACAAGTAACTTATTTTTGATCATTTTAGAAACAAAACTTATTTTTAAAGAAATAACATTAAGAGTCTGGTGTTTTTAGAATTTGTTATATTTAATGAATAATTACTGGGTATAGCCAGTGAAAAACACTAATTTATTTAATATTTTTACAGATTGATTGAATTAATCTAAAGATGATTGGTCTTAGAATCAATAACGATTAATTGATCAGTGGCAACTCTCTTAAAAATAGTTTTCTCCTGTATAAAGAGAGCTAACCATCTTTTCATAAAATGAAGGAATTTAGAAAAAAACACATTACATTTGTACTTTCACTTTGTGTAAAGAGTATTAAGTACTAATTGAATTCATATAAAACATGCAGTTTTTTCATGTTATTGAACGTAGGCAGCCTTCAAAATGAGCGGTCCTTATTTTTCTGTGATGCTTCCAGTCTCTGCGTTGTCCTGTTTCCCCTTGATTGTTCCCAGGTGTTTCTCGTTTCTGTGATTACCATCTGTGTATTTAATCCCACGGTTGTCCTTTGTTCCTCATCGGGTCCTCATCGTTCTTCACGTCATTTTGTCAAGCCTGTTCTTCTGTCCACCAGGATGAACAGTTGCTAACGGCGTTGAGCCCTGGCTTCAGCTCAGCCATGCTGCCTGTTTTTGTGTTTCCACTTGGACTATTTTTACTATTAAAACCATCATTTAACTATATCCTGGGTTTTCTGCCTGCTGCTTCACCACCAGTATACCAGCATCTCTTGATAGAGTGAAGCTATGACAAGAAAACAAACTGAAAAACATGTGAATCCTGGAATAATCCTGGAATAATCCTGGGATAATCCCAGCTTACATCTTTAAAGGACTGGAAGAAAAAAATGTTTCCAAGGACTCAATCAGAATCGTTTCACCAAGAAATAGATTGTAGAGACTGAACTATCTGTTCAACAGTGAGAGAGTTTCTCTGACAGGAGGAAAAACTTTAGACTCTTTAGACTCAAATCAGCTCAGAAACACTGAGGAACCATAAGACCAGACTGTAAATCCAGGAATCAGAGTTTCAGTGAATGTGGTGTTGAAGGTGTGGAGGAGGATCAGTGAGTCAGAGGAGACTCTGTAGAAGGACAGAATGCCAGCAGGACAGTCCACATACACTGCTACTCTGTTAGAGACAGAGGAGGAGGAGAGATCAGTTTTTGTCATTGTGCCAGACAGAGTAACCATAACTATCAGAGCAGCTCAGACTCCAGGAATGATCATTATATCCAAACAAACAGTCTCTACTGTTTCCTTTCCTCTTGATTCTTCTGTAACTCACTGATATATAAACTAATCCTCTCCACTCGACCTCCCAGTAACAGCGACCAGTCAGACCAGTTCTACACAGCAGCAGAGGAAGATCAAATCTGTCTGGATGATCAGGATATGACTGAAACTCCTCCACATATGTCACCTTCCTGTTGTCTTCAGACAGTTTGAGTTTTCTGCTCACTGTGTTTGTGTCGATGGTGAGTTGACAGGAATCTGATGGAGAACAAACACAATCCAGCTGCAGTTATTGATCATTTATTGACGCTTTGACTCCTCAATGAGTGATGTGACAGTTTGAAGATGGTTGAATGTGAGCTGCTTTGTTGTCATGAATCAGATGAAAAACACACTTACATTTCCTCAGACCTGGAGTCAAGAATCGGCCTCCAGCAGGCTCCACCCTGAAAGGAGGAGGGGGGTCAGACCATCAGTCTCTTTCAGCAGCAAACATGGACATTACATGTCTCTCAGACACACATTGTCCTCCACAGAGACAGGAACAGTCCAACATCTGGATTGCAAACTGCAGTGGATGTAGGAAGGACAGTTGGTGCTGCTGCAGCACAACTCATTTCTCCAAACACAGGAAAAGCTCCAACAGAGAGGAGAAAGGAAATCCCTCAGTAACAACCTGAAGAAACTCACTGAAGCCTAAAAGGACATCAGGAAACTAAGGAAACATTTCTGGAAGCTCCACCTGATTTAATAATCAGCATTAAATACAATCAATCTAAACTCTGATCAACACCTGGATACCTGATCCATCCACACTCCCACACACAGATGAAGGAATGAAACACTAAACAGCCCTGCTGCTGAAAACCTGCTGTGGCCTCACTGTAATATCCAGAAATACAAACATTCAAAAGGAGAAGCTGCATCACATTCAACAAAGATTCAACAAGAATCAAAGATTTGATCTCTGAGCTCAGACTCACAAACCAGGGAGAGGCTTCCATC